ACACCATCAATCCCTCAGCCAGTTTTTCTTTAGGTCTCGTCATGAGCACTACTGTTAGTTCAGCCATTGCCAAACATTCTCGTCCTCAAACTACGTCAGCTTTGTGCAAAACCAATCCGAAGTCCACCCTCGGCGCATCTTCAGCCGTCGCGACCTGCTCCACCGACACAATCAATGCCACAACCTCCACTCTTCACACAACTCTTGACCCTTTTGTCCGTTCCACCTCGGCCGAAACTTTTCCTGCCTCAGTCCAGAGGGTCGAATTACCTTCTCAGGGACACCTCCCAAGTGCCTGCAACAAACAACCTGTTTCTCTCGTTTCATCGACAGAGTCTGCCGATGTTCTCGTCATGCAACATATCGAGCAGCCTGATGATACAGTGACCGAACAAAAGGACGATCAAGTGATTATTGCGTTGGCATGCTTGTCAACATTTTCTGGTTTTTCACTTCTTGGACAGCGAGTATAAATCATAGTTGTGTGAGAATTTGCTGTATGGCTTGCTGGAATTAGTTAGAGATTTGGGGGGCAATGTTAAGTGAATTTTAAGGGTATTGTGGAATTCTCAACTATCAGTCCATAAATTACTTGGGGCGGCACACGATGAATAAGTTCTTATTCAAGTATGACTCATATTATCGAAAACTACTTTTACCTGAAGTAATTATATCATTGATTTAAATGTTAAACACATATTTACTTAATCGACAATCCCAGTACAAATGTTACTCTGTAGAACTCTGGCTGGTTTTCGCTGTTCCATCTGTCCTCTGACCCACTGCTATTCACCACGATACTCGCGATCCCGTATCGAATCCCGTTTGCGCGCTGACAAAACTTGGGCGAGGTCGAAACAGCATTCCAGCCTGGAAGGCAGGTTGGGTGAATTTTAATATCATCTTGTGGCATACTTATTTACTCGTGGTAAAAATTCAATTGGCAGTCGTTAAATCATTTTAAGCGGCCTAAGGTGACTAAGTTCCTATTCAAATAAGTATATTTGTCATTAGAATCCACTACATTACTATTTATTCAAGTGTATAGTTTTGCACCATCGAAAGACTCTTACTAAGGGTTTACATCTAAATCCTTACAGTTCCTTACACAACCTAAGCCAATGCAAACTCATTTTCAAGATCTCTCAACTTTTGTGCACCAACTTGACCATTCTAATAACTATTCGGAATACTGCGTGGATTTGCAGTTTCCACGTAGAGATAATTATACACAATTTTGTGCCTGAGTAAAGGTAATAATATGAAGTATATATAAATAATCTGTGTTTATGCGACCTTTTTTTTACAATACCTGTTGTCAGAACATGAAAATTATTCTAAAAATGAGCATGCGTCAGACTGTTGTATCTATCATTTAATTTTGAAGCGAGGGTAGAAGTGATTAATAAATTGGCCTCACCGCTGAACGAAAAGCGCCTTGCAGTTTTCTTTGGGGGTGACTCCGATGACGTCACTTGCCACTTGCGGCTCTGCTCTATTTGTATTGTCGTACCTTGCATTTAGTTTTGTAGAAGGGAATCACACAATGTTCTCAGTAAGTTTAAGCTTTCTTGACTATAGTTTGAATATTGCTGCAAGAATGATACCATGTTCTGACTGAGAGGAAAAATGAGAGTGAGAGTAAAAATAAAAGAGTACGAATAAGAGAATGAGAGTGAAAGGGGAAGCGTGAGGAAGAGTTAGAGTGAGACTGAGAGGGTAAGTGAGAGGGAGAGGGATAGAGAGGAGGACGGGAGAGAAAGAGAGCAGGCAAAACTTAGAGTTAACACCTTATTATCCCTGAATATGGTTGGCGCTTGTGACATGATGCTTGAGCATTGTATGCTCAGTACACACCTGAAAATTTGTTCAAGTACCTGCGTCAGCATTTTAACATCAACGTAGCAGATAATCTTGGTAATGAAACACAACTTATTTTACGAAACAGTTAAATTGGCATTTCAAAATTGTATAGTTTGAAAGCCATGACGTCTAATGGTCTTTGTGGTGCTTCTTGTAGTCGTCGTCCAATGAATCGAAGAGTCTGAACTTCCAGCCTAGCCACCTCGTCACCAGCTTCGTATTCCGTAATGAGATTTATTGAAACATTGAATTACTCAGAGGACACCACTATTCTCCATGACTGTATCTCTTATTCAAAATATACTGGTAGTTTGGTGAAACATACTTATAATAATATAAGTAATATAATCGATTGCAATAACAAGTACAGGTTTGTTTTATCGACACTTCCACAACAAAACTGTGATATGGGAAAGGCCTGGCCTACCTTGGAATTCCCGCCTGCCCTGTTACCAAGGGGCAATCGTGGCAGTATGGCGTGGTGGTAACGTGTTGAGCTTACACACTGCACCACCCAGGTTCAATTTTTGTTGGGAATTGAGCTGAAACCTTGGCGAAGCCAAAACTGCATTCATGTACAGCTGGGAGGAGAATTCATTTTTGAAACTAAGGCACTGTGAAATGTTATGGAAACGAGAGGTTTACTCATTTGATTATGTAACCTAGGTTGACTGGAGCTCTTGTGCAATTTTAGGAAAGGCCGGATAATTTTTTTGACTTTTACTTCATTCTCTCTCGCTTCCTACAGATCCTGCTTTGTGAATTCGTTGACAACGCCGTATCGATCGAAAGTCTCATATCGCAGCTGCAATCCGAATGCCTCCCTGACTTGTCTCTCGCGACACCGGATACCTCTGCCTCGATGAATCAAAGGTCTTCGGTCGACAGCGAGGCCAATTCGAACGCCGATGTTCCCGCTTCCACGAGCATGACCGTTGACGACGAAGCACTCGCAGTTGCCAGGCCTGGTTGTCCAAATCTTTCTGTCTTCACGACGAGTCTACCTCCGCCGGCCGACACTGGCTGGATGACGGCGCTGGCCCATTGGACTGAACATCATCCGCTCGTCCTCTCTTACTTCTATTCCCTGCGAGGTCTTTTGTCCGAGGAAGCGTTCCACCAGTCTTCCGACCTGCCGGCTAAATTAAGCGAGCGTCAGGTTGAGTCCGACAGGATGGAGGAGAGGCTGCTTGCTGCTTGGCAGCACCTCGCGACTCGGGCGGCGGATAGGCACCATCGCCTCGTTCAGGTGCGAGTTTAATTTCTTCATCCTTCATTTTGTTGGCAGATCGTATTAAAGAGGATTCATTGAAATATCTAATTAATTCATAATTTCTGCCTATGGTCGGCATCTACGATGAGACCATCTGGAACGTTGTAAAAATAAAGAACCTTTACACACGAAACGATAGATTTGATGACGAACGAAATGATTATTTATACTTCTGGAGATATTATAGTGATTGTTTTTGAAGGTTACCGGAAATACCACACCTTTTTTTACTTATTCTTTCAAGGACCAGTTGGTTTGTTTCTCTCAGTCGTTGGAGCCTAAGCCATGATGTTCCCCATGATTATGACTCCACCTTATCACTCTCAAACTAGTTAATCTAAACTGAACTGATGTTTATATGTTTGTGCTGTATGCAATGATGCTGCATCTAGAC